CTAGCGTACCTGAGGGATGTCCGAAGGCACGGGGTGTCGGCGAGGTGTTGTGGCGAGAGGGTCAAGCAACGAGCGAAGCTGCATCCAAATGCCCGTAAGCATGTGAACCAGTTGTGTCGTCAGATTTGGAAGGACGTGGGCAAGCATCGTGTCCTGGCGGCGCCGTCCAGTCATCCCGCCCTTGAGCAGGTGGTTGCCAGCCCCTTTGACGCGGTCGACAAGATGCTGCCGGACAGGTCGATCGCCCCGGACAAGAGGATAGTACATGATCAACGAGGCGTCAACGCTTTGACAGACAAAGAGTGGCACCCCCCAGCGGTGCAACCAAAGCACGAACAGGTTGCTCGGCTCATCTTGTGGTACAAACGCCGGTACCCAGGTTTGGAAGTGTTGCTGTCCAAGAAGGATATTGCCGGGGCCTTTCGTCTGCTGTGGGTGGACCCGAGAGATGTGGCTTTATTTGCGGGAGAGCTTCCCTGGCTGCCCAATGAGATGGAGGAGGGCGACGCTGTCGATGGCGAGGAGGTCACGGTCATCTATTTGGTCAGCTCCTTTGGCTTTTCCGGCTCCCCGGGCGAATGGTCAGTGCGGGGCAGAGCGACAGAGGAGTTCCTAACAAGCCACTGCCCGGCGCAACCACGTCGAGACCTGGGTGTGAACTTCAGCAGCAGGATCCTAGTCGATGACAATGTGTTGGTGGAGCCCTACGTTGGTTTGAGGCCTTGGGTCGCCGCTGAGGTGTACGAGCAGGGGGTGCGCATGATGTTGGGCAGGAGCGCAGTCAACACAGAAAAAGACAGTGTTGAGGGTCCCTACCGCACCTTCCAAACCGTGTGGGGACTAAATATGGAGACTTCGAAAGAAGAAGTTCACTTGCCAGAGCGGCGCATCATGAAAGGGGCAGTGCTGCTCAGCGAGGCCTGCTTTGACTACGGCAACAAAGACATCAGCGTCAGGACCATCCAGCGCTTCAGGGGGATCGCCACCGGGTGGGCCACAATCGTCCCGGGTTTGAAGAACGAGCTCAAGGCGGCGGACAGGTTCATTGGACCGACCATGGGTGGGAACGCCAAGGCAACCGCGAAGTTGTTCAACACCAACGACCCGGAGGAGTGCGAGCAGGCGTGGCGAGACCTTTGGGACCTGTTCGAGGCGGCGCGGTGGCTTAGTTCGAGGCCGGAGACGTGGAGCTCGAAGTTCGGTGCAAGTTTGAGGGAGCTTTTGCCAGTCCGGGAGCGTTTAGCGGTGCCCGGCGAGTGGAGCCAAGGCGTGGTCTTCGTGTCATCGGATGCCACCAAGAAGATCATCGGGGCCATCGACTGGACGAATGGGCTTGTGATGCGCATGAAGGCGGGCTTGGCTGCAAAGTGGGCCACTCTGGGCACTGAGGGCGAGGAAGTGGCCATTCATATAGCGGAGATGCTGTCTTTTCTGGCTTTCGCGCGCAAGGTTGCGGCCAGTTGGAGTGGCAAGGTCGTCTTGTACGGGGGTGACAACCAGGTCGTCCGTGAGTGGATTGAGAGTCGGAGGAGTGGCAGAGTGGCACCGTGGCCGGCCGAGTTTTGATTAGGGTCCTGAACATGATCGAAATGAGGTACCGTTGCTTGGTGATTCCCGCTTGGTTCCGCACCTTTCATAATGCGCACGCCGACTATGTGACCAGGCGCACGCCCGAGCAGTTCGAGACCCTGATCGCCCAGAAAGGTCGGGAGCTTGTGAGCCTGGCTGGTGCTCAGCAGGGAATG